CTAATTACCCAAGAAAGCCTCACCGAGTCTCAAGACCCTTCTTTTTCAGGAGGGTGCTGCTACACTGGGATGATAAGTTCCACTCTTAGAATGAGAGTTCAGCTTCGTGTGGGAGGAAACTGAAGAACCCTGAGAAAATGCAACATGCAAACAAGGAACTATTCAATTCTCCGTACGGATGGATTCAATAATCTAGTGCTGTACTAATCTCTAGCCACCTCGGAGTTCAAGCCTACAACACCTGGTATCCCATCCTAGTACTCACCAGACTGAACCCTGCTGAGCCCCCAAGATCAGACATCTGGCAATATTCTGGGTGATTGTAGGCAGTGAATATATTATGAACAGCGACGCACAGCCTTAATGTCCTGTTGTTGAACACTCACGCATTAAACAGATAACGAAACAAGCAGAAAATCCGCCCCCATATCAGTCTCTGCATATAAAAATTTAAGTATTTATTTACGCATCCCATGAGCCACTCGGCCTACATTCTGGGTGTAAATAATTACAGCAGCATTGGTTCAACGCAAGCAAACCTGTGGACCTTTATCGACACAAGTTAAACACGTCGACTTCCATCGTCTCATCAGCAGGCAGACTTGAACCAACGCTGGTGAACTGCCAGATGTTTGTAGGCAAGGACCCTCTCTCTGTTTGATATGGGTGCCTGGTTCACGCAAACCTCTCTACAACACAACGCAAACTCATCAGTAGCTTGGTGGCGAGAACAAACGCAACAAGATAAATCAGCAGACAATGCGCCTCTTTGCCATGAACACAGGCGTGGGACCTCCTTGCTGTATTGTAATCTCCACTGGATATGTCATCCTCTGCGGGGCGGCTGTACGCTGGCAATGACTTATCAGCCACCAGCAGCACAGGGCAGGCGCTGGCGACTACGCTTCACGTGGCCTGAACCCGGAAGTCTGGAGGCAGCGAGAGTTGGTGGATCACGCACACGACCTCAAGACTCCCTCCCCGCTCGTGGGCATCGAAGTCACAATCTTCTGGATTATGCTCAGAGTACGATAGAGGTACAGCAAGTGGGTTAATCTCCATCTCGTTACTCGGCTGTTCTTCGACAAAGTTGCCCAAACATCCCAATATAGAACCACAGAGCTTGGACATTTGTTGGCTCTGGTCCTAGCCAGCCTCCCGCGTGCCTGCGGACTCCTCTGCACGCGTTACGATGTCGACAGCGTTTTGATCGAAAATCTATAATCTGCTAGAATGATGCTGCCATATTAAAAGTAAACAGAGAATCTCTGCCTTCCTAGCGACTCAAATCCCGGCCAAAACAGCACTCGTTAGTCTTGAGACTACAAAGGAATCGCCACTCCTGCTGCGCGGGGGAAACAGCATCCCTGCTGCAAAGGCAGGCGGGATGAGTCCCCGTGGTCCCAGGCCTCCACAGGTGCGCGCGTCTGTGCACGTGACACAAAACAGACATCCTCAACGCCCTCCTGGGCCGTCGCCAAGCGAGAAGAGCCCCCCACCCCCAACAGGCCCCCCTCCCTTGCCTGCCCCAGCTCAGAGGAGCTATAAGGCCCCCCCCTCCCTCTCCTTGACTCCTCGTTGTCCTGACAGCTGAGCTGGGTGCACCTAGTCCTGTCCTCCGAGCCGCTCCTGCGAGCAGTAACCCCTTGTGCAAAGTGCTAGCCTTAGTAGGTGTTTGTTTATAGCACTTGCCCCAATCGTATGTTAAGGCTATAGGGGGTGTTTTTATCTTCATGTTGAGGACTGTATATAGTGGTTAGCGCACTGTATGAGGACATCGGCAGCCTGAGTTCAATTCCTCCTCACGGCCAACATCAGTGGCGATTATTTTAACTGAAGCTGGTTTGGGAGTTTCGCAAATCTTTGCGCGATGCACCAACCCTCGCCTCCAATGCGTCAGATCACAGTGCATCGTGGGAACAGCGGTTGCGCAGTCGGTTATCTCACTGAGAAATGCACCTGGCCACTTGAGTTCAGTTCCCGGCCATGGCTAACATCAGTGGCCATTATTTGAACAGATCTCGGGAGGGTCTGGCCAGACAAACGTGTGAACAATCATAACCACACGTCTAATTTTCCATGTTTTCCATGTTCTCCGGTTGAATTTTTTTCCCTGATCTCCGATCCATATGGAACAGCTTGTGTGCATAACTCGCTCTCCCTCGCTGTCTGTCTGCCGTGGATTTGAGAAATCTCATTAAGGGATGTCGAGCCTGGCCCTTGGGCACGGCCTCACCACGCTCCGTCCGACGCGGCCCGCTAACAGCCCTGTCGGCCACGAGGCAACCTCTCCCGCTAACCGGGGCCCAGCGGTAGTGAAGACGATCGTGACGGTAACTAAGGTGTTCACTCGGTGCAGGCGCCATCGTGCTCATAGCGCGAGCCATCGACGTGGTCTGCAGGAGTTTCACAGTCAGGGGGCGATGTTGCTGCCTTGCGTGCGATCCCAATTGAGTGATTTGCGGTGTGAGTTTACAATCTGGCGAACTTGGACAGTGATGCTGGGACACAATGACCTGCTCTTGCTCACGACATCACGGGACCTCTAATTGTCCGCTGTAAAGTGCTGCACTGTACAGTTAGTACACACTGCCAAAGTAACCAGGGCGGCCTGCAGAACCTCTGCGATAAGCGGCGAGCGCACCACCGTTGGACCGCATCGCCGCCCCAATTGCAGAGGTAATACTGCGGTGCCTATTGACCATAAAAGACGATGTAAGCGCCATCCATTTCTCTCACGGTGGCCAGTAAAGATCCCGTGACGTCAATTGAAATGAGTAGGCCGTCGTGTGCCGGCACCGCGGGCTAAAAATGGCCAAATTCTAGAAAATTAGCACCGCAAATGACTAAGCGGTGGCGTTGGTGGCGGTAGTGACCGTGACGATGGAGGAGCAGGAGTGGAACATCCGAGGGCGTTGGGGGTGTTGCGACCTCCGCGCGGCTTCCCACGCCCTCCCCACACGCGGCACGACCTCGGCGTGCGGGACAATGTAGCTGCTGGCTCGCCCGCCAGCCTGCACCTGGCACGGCCAGCACGGCCGTGCCAGCCTGCACCTGGCACGGCCAGCACGGCCGTGCCAGCCTGCACCTGGCACGGCCAGCACGGCCACGCCGCGAGGCCGCTCCCCTGGGGAGGCGTGGGATTGTGGTGGCGCTGGTGGCTATGCCGCACACCTGCAACCGGGCACTATGTAAGGTGAGGGTTGGTGGATCGCCAAGACGTTTGTGAAACTCCCAAACCGGGGTTGGTTACGATAATGGCCGCTGACGTGAGCCGTGGTTGGGTTCATAGAGCTCTCACCACTACCAAACTGCTACGCACGATTCACGCTCACACACAAAGCTCGCCTGTGCAGCCTACATAGGGTGTGGTGGTAAGTGCTGTTAGCGAGCAGCTGTTGAGGCCGGTACGAGGCGTGAGGAGCTGGTGTGGCCGGCACCGCGCCTGCACACCTTTGTGTGGCCCACATAAGGCAGTAGAGCAGGTGGGGACATTTCCCTCTGTCTCCAACTGGACAGAGACTGAGCGTAACGCTCCTCTCTTGGGCGCTTAGAATTGGGACCTCCCCTAGGTCAACTCAGCCTTAAATAAGTATCCGGTGCGGTCTATAGACATCGGCGCAGCGGAGACAAAGATTGGCTGGACGTGGTGTTGGCCACGCCACACTCTCGTGTGCCGGCCTTCACAGGCGCTCGCTACAACACTCATCTCGTCAAGGCTGCATTGGGAATCTGCGTGTGTGCTGCGTGTATGAATGTGGGAAGCAATGGTGCAGAGGTGATCTACACAGATAGGAGTAACTTGACCTTGAGCAGGATTAGAACTCATGTCACTACTGGGAGCTCTGCCATCCTCTTTATACACAAACACAACGGACAAAGATTCCCCCTATTTCCTTAACAGACTGCAGGGGTCAGTGCTGTTAGCAAGCACCTATTAAAGCCGACATGGCACACAATGGGGTGGTGTGGCTATCATCACGTCAGCCCTGCTGCCTTTGTCTTCCAGGTGCTAATGCTCACACACCACGCCAGGTACTCATTCAAGGCTACATGAAGCTCGGATGATTGGTCACCAATGTAGGCCGTGAGCGGAAATTGAACTATAGTCAGCGGGTTCCGTAGCACAGTGCACTAACCACTGCGTCACCGCTCCCCACGTGATCCACCAACCCTTGCCTACACACGTCCGGTGTTCTTCACACATACACACGTGCATAGGAATTTAATTAAAACACAAGGCAACAGATACGAATGCTGCGAGTCTGGCATCCTGTGAGCCAATGTCACCATCGTGGTGCCACGTTCGTGGGGGGGGGGGCGTTTGGAGCCAACGCAAGGCCCACCCCCACCCCAGCTCCTCCTCCCCCTCTCCCCCCCCCCGACCACGGGGCTCCCAGCTGTCCGCTCGGCTCCCCAACCCGAGCACCAAGTCAACGGCGGCAGCGTCACTCACGCCGTTCTAAGTCGGGACAAGAAGCCAACGGGCTCATCGGCCCAACGAGGCCCGTCAGGCGGCACGGCTCCTGCCCAGGGGCCACACGGCCGGTGGCCACAGCGGGGCCTGGGAGACGGCCCAGGAGATGGCACGCTCTGACAGGAGGCACGCGGGTCAACCCACGCAACCCCACGCAACTCTCACGTGACCCCACGCAATCCCGCGTAACCCCACGCAACCAACCCCAATGTGACCGACCCCAATGCAACCCTCTCTCAATCCCAATCCAACCCGCACAAAACCCCAACGCAAACCCAACGCAACTCCCACACTACCCCTCGATCTACATCCGCTCACCCTCTCTCTACTCCACATGCCCTCTCTCATCTCCATTTCCCTCATCTCCTCTCTCCACTCATCCTTCTGTCCCTCTCTCCTCTCCCCCTCTCCTCCACCAGCGTGGTCTTGATAACAAACACGCGACCCTGGAGCCCAGGCTAGCCAGGCCCCCCCCATCCCCCCCAACCTCCCGCCCCTCGCGGATAGGCGACCGCGTCCTCACTCTTGTTGGCGACCAGGGCGACGTTAGGCTGCCGCTCAGCCTCCTCGTTCACCTTGCGCACCATGCCCAGCCAGTCCTCCAGGTCCTCGAAGCTCTGGTAGTTGGTGATGTCGTACACGAGCAGCACGCCCTGTGACACAGCCGTGTTGGCAGGCGACTGTTATTATTATTCAAGTTGTTGTTGTTGTTTCGTAGCGATTTACCCTGGAAAGTCTCACCGAGTCTCAGGACTTTCAGGAGGGTCCTGCCAAGCTTCCGTAGTTAGGTGGTGATGTTGTTGCTGCTGTGTGCGATCCTAATTTTTCAATTTTTAGCAGTTAACTTCTTAGCAATGGGATATGTGTATTTTTTTGCGACGGGAGGAAACCAGAGAATCCAGAGGAAACCCATGCAGAACAAGGAGAGAACATACAACATCCAAACACTCACACATTCACACTCTGCAGAACAGGAGGAATACATTCAAACTCCACTCAAATAGTGGCACCTGGGTCAGGAATTGAACCCCGGCCCCTCTTGCTGTGAAGCGCGGGTGTTACCAGCCCCCTGCCGCCCTGACGGCCGCAATGGTCAGCGAGGGAACGACGGGGACGCTGGCATCACATCGAAATTCTGACATCGACACACTCCACCAACCCGCATTGACCAGCGTGGTGAAGTATGATGAAATAATTCCCGTGACTCACATGGCCTCAAGAGAAAGACAAAAGGGCCGTACATGTTACACTGTCAGTATTTCGGGCTGGGTTGGCCTAAGAGAGGCCCAGTGCAGGCGGATGGATTCTTAGTGCAGAGTGGGAATAACTATGCCATTATGCACAGGCACACTCGTTTATGCACACACTCAGACACTCACACATACGCATACACACTGGCACACGCTCACGTGCGCGCACACACTCAAACACGCACCCTGTCACAAACTAACCTTTCATACGTGCACACACACACACACTTACTTGCATACACATTCTTGCACACAGTCTCTCAAACACATACTCTTGCACACATAAACGCACGCACCCTCACCTCCACACCTACTCACACACACCCACATGGGCCCCAGCCAGCATACAACAACCCGTTCTGGTCTGCCACCGCCAAACCCGGGTCGCTGCGCGGTTACCACTCACACAAAGACAAAGATCCCCCAATGTAGCCTTAACAGGCCGTTGGGACAAGTGCTCTTAATGAGCACCTTGGAAAGCTGGCGTGGCACACGAGAGGGGGTGGGTGTTCGACACCACACCAGGGCGCCTTTGTCTTCCCAGTGTTGATGTTTACACACCAAGTACTCATTTAAGGCTGTTGAACTACGGAAGACCCAGGACCGATTTCAATACTGGTCATGAATGTTGGCCGTGAGCAGGAATCAAACTCGGGCCGCTGGCTTTGTAGCACAATGTGCTGAACTACTTTTCCACCGTTCCCCACCACACAAACATGCTTACACACGCTTACACACGCTTACACACGCTTACACACGCTTACACCCTGACACACTGACACTCTCACAACCCCTCCCTCACCTATTCTCACATTCACTCTCAATCGCACACTCACACGCACTCACAAAGCTCCTCACACACAGAAACAAACACACACCCAATCAAACGCAAACCTAGACACGCTGACACACACACTCTCTCTCGCTCACATGCTCAAACAAAGACACACTCTCTCGCACGCGCACACACTCTGGCACACGCACGCCCCCACCCCCCTCCCTGTGCTCTGCCCCCCTCTCTGCCACGACACCGCTGCCAGCGGAGGTGTCGGGACGTTGACGCGTGGCGCGTCCCGTAGTCACACGCGCGATGACAACTACCAGCAGAGGACGATCACTCACCCCAGCGGCGGGGTCTCTTTGTCTTTGCACATCTAGGTGTTTGTGCGTACATTTGTGTGTGTAGCTGTGTTTGCACGTGTATATGTGCGTATGTGTACCCACGCATGTGTACATGTGTACAACATGGGTGCGGAAGTGGTGAGCATGCTGTGCAATGAATCCGGCCACCCGAGTTCGATTCCTGCTCACGACCAATAATAGTGGAGAACATTTGAATTGGTCCTGCGCCTCCCCTAGGTGGACTCAGTCTTAAATGAGTTCCTGGTGAAGTGTGTAAACATCAGCACTGGGGAGACAAAGGCGGCCGGGCATGGTACAGCATGGTGCTGGCCACGTACACGCTCGTGTGCCGGCCTTCATAGGTGCTCGCTAACAGCCCTCGCTCCAACAGTGCATTCAGGCTGTACGTACGTGCGCTCCGTAGATGTACTTGTCGAGCATCTTGCCCCCCAGAGTCTGCCCCCCGATGTCCCACACCTGCAGCGTGACGCTCACGTTCCCTAGGGGAGCCCAGGGTGGTGCGGGGTTGGGGGGGGGCAAGAAAGGGGTGGGAGTCGAAGGGAAGACAAGTGTGAGCAAGGAGCGGTGCTTCCACGCATCACAGTGAAATCCTCCTGTACGCAACTCTAATTAAGCGCAACTTCTATTCAATCCACAACATCTTTGATGTCCGTCACTTTTGCCGAGTTACGGGAGTCGTGTTGGGAATGTGGGAATATTTTCCGCATTCGGCTGCAGAAAAACCGAACTTGAAAATAAAAAGCAACACAGCAAAATGCTGGAAGAAGTGGGTTTTCAATGGGTCTGTGTCGCTCGCTATGACGTGCGGATCGGACACCTGGACAGCGACAAAGAGACGATGGAACAAAAAGTGTGCAGTGGATAGACCATGGCTGATGATGACGATTCGTAGAAGTGGTCATCGCAGGAGCTAAATTGTCCGTGGTTTAGTGTGGATAATGAGATGAATTGTGCCGCAAGGAGAATCACCCCATGATCTGTGTTGTCTGCCACTGGGAGCAGTTACTGTTATCCACACGTGTTCATGGCTAGAAGTCGCCTCGCAGGACTGCGGCAAATGAATTTGATTATCCGAGTTTACCAGGGATGTACATTGGATTAAACATTTTCAGATGTGCGATTTCTCAGGACATTTTCTAATATTTTTCAGATCTTCAAGTCATTAGCATCACGAAGCAGTGGAATGCGTCTCCGACCCAACGAGCGTGACGCCACTGGGTGCCACGCAATGCCGCTCCCCACTGAGCCTCGCACTTTCCCATCGAACTCAAACAAATCAACTTTCTCAAATTATATTGCAGAGTACTCAATTGGGATTACACACTCAGTAGCAATCATTGCCCCCTGCTGGCAGACTAATGTCCGCTCGCAGGCTGGTGACCGACTCACATGACGTCATACAGGGACAGCTGCCACTGGGGGTCCCCTATCTGATTTAGGAGACGAGATGCGACGACGTGAGTCGCTTCTCGTGCTTGAAGCGCCCCGAGACGCCCCGGCGTGGAGGAGGAGGGCAACTCTATCAGAAACAACGCCATCTCGCTAACGAAATTATCACAGAAATTCGCAGATAAAGGGATCTGCCGTTTTAGCGCCGCAAACTTGCCGGCGGATATGAGGAGCGCCGTCGCACTGGGACCTGTCGCCGTGGAATGCGTCTGAAGCGGCACGGCAAGGCGCTGAGTTTACATTCCTGCCTGGCCGCTTCGCTGAGCATCTCCATCTGAGTGGAACCCGCTACAGATGAGCACGCGATTAAATTCATGGGAAATACATTCGGAGGTGTTCCTTTAGCAAACATGTTTACAGCACTGCCTCCTTCTCTACCTCCTCCCCTTCATCATCAACCTCCTCATCTGTCGACATCCTCATCTTCCTCCTTCCCGAGTCTCCCTCATCGTCTACCTCATTCTCCCTCTCCTCTACCTCCGCCTTCTTCTTCTTCTCCTCTGCCACCACCACCTTCTCCTCCATTGAGTTCCGACAAAAAGGCTTCTCTCAAATCTGCACTGTTGATTGAAGGTTACCATGTGTCTGTATATATGTGGGGAGCGGTGGTGCGGTGGTTAGCACACTGCAATGGCAAATATCTGAACCAGTCCTGGGCCTTCCTCTAGGTAGACTCAGTCTAAAATAAGTGCCTGTTGTGGTATGCAAGCATCGGCATTGGGGAGACAAAGGCGACCGGGCGTGGCACTGCCCAGGACACCCCTTTGTGCTCGCTAACAGCACTCACAGCCTGTTAAGGCTATCGGGGGAATCTGCGTCGCCTAGTTACAGGCGAGTTGCTTGCTGCCGAGGCCGGTGGGAAGGGCGAGGGACACTGCTGTCGAGGAACTTCCTCGGCTTCATGAATGTCGTGGATTCCTCTCCCACCTCAATCACAACTTGATGCTAGGCTGTCGATTATTTATAATTACTTCACTTGCAATTGCTTTTAATATCATATATCCTTGTTTGTGTACATGTTAGTACAAGTCACCCATATCTGTTTAATGTTTCTATGTTTGGTGATTTGCGCAGTGATGAACCTGGACCTGATCTTCCCGAGTCGATTTGCACTGCAGGAAATATCATATTTACTGTTGATTGAACTTTTATTCATGTTTTGCAAAAATTGTATTCCTCGTTTGACAGTGTTTTTGTTCCTATTGCTGTACTGCATTGCTGTACACTTTGTTTTTTTATTCTGTCATGTTGGTGACCCAGGTCACTCTTGCAAACGAGACTCTATGCCGGTCCCTTGAGTTCTCACCCTGGTCACACAAAATAAACTTGAAACTTCCTACAACAACCTCCACACGCCTCGCCAACACTGACTCGGTGGCCGTAAGATACTATGCGCTGTCTGATTCACTGCGGATATTAAACATCCCGTGACATCATAAGCAAGAGCAGGCCATTGTGTGGCTGGCTTCGCGGTCCAAATGTGAAAATGACCTGCAAATTACTGAATGGGAATTACACAGAGCAGCATCTACCCCTACTGTGAATCGACTGGAGACTAGGTCTGCAAAACACAAAGACAAAGATCCCCTGTATAGCCTTAACAAGACTGTTGGGGCAAGTGCTGTTGACGAGCGCCTTAATAGAGGCTGACAAGGCACACACATACACTCACTCGCACTTGCAGAAGAGGGGGAGAACATGCAAACTCCCCAAAGGGAGGGGCATCCGAGTCGGGAGTCGAACCGTGGTTCTTCGTGCTGGGAGGCGGCCCGCGTGTCACCGCTGCGCCGCCCCCTGCGGCCCTGCAGGGTATTCTCCGACTGCCTTGTGCCCTTCAGGCAGCGTGAGCGAGTGGGTGCGTGTGCGAGTATCAGTTTCACGATTGCAATCGTAATCCACTTGCGATCGTAAGCATTGTTACAGACGGCACTCGACGCACGGAATGCCCTGGCAAATATCGCGTTTTGTGCGTCTCTCTCTCCCTCTCTCGCGGCCGCATTGTGAAGCACCTGTCCACTTCAGGCACTAAAGAAATATTTTCTTACAATATTAAACAAACCAAAACAAACCTCCCCCCCCCCCCACCACCACCACCAAGCTCAACCCCTACTCCTACCGCCTCAACTCCCACCTCCTTCACTCAGCCCGCGCCAAGTGTTTGCTCAGTGTTTGGCTCTGTATCTTTCACGCTCACCCATTGTTGCGCGCGGTAAAACAGAACAGTGCTGCCATTGTATGCTGTTACGTTCCAATTACAGCACCTCCTCCCCCACCCCAGCCCTCCTCCCCACCGAGACCACCGAGACCACCGGCCACGCACGGCACTGGCCGCACCTGGCAGGCCGCCGCGGTGTGGGCGCCGTGTCCACGACGCCCGCGAGTTTAAACAGAGACGCCCAGCAAGAAGGTCGGGGTGGCGTTGGCGGCGTGTGGTGCAGGGTCCCGGCCTCACCAGGCAGGGTGATGCGCTTCAGGAAGAAGTCGAGCCCCACCGTCTGCTTGTACTGCTTGCCAAACGCCTCCTGGGCGAAGCGCGTCGCCAGAGACGTCTGTGAGTGCACGGTGGGGGGGAGCGGTGGCGCAGTGGTTAGCGCACCGCACTGGGAACCCGGCGAACCGAACTTCAATTTCGCCTCACGGTCAACATGAGTGATGCTCCAGGGCCTCCCCTAAGTCGACTCAGCCTTAAATCAGTAGCTGGCACAGTGTATAAACATCAGCATTGGGGAGACAAAAGCGGCTGGGCGTGTGGTTGCCAACCCCCCCCCCGCCCCCCGTGTGCCGTGGTGACCTGAATAGGTAGTCGCTAACAGCACTTACTAAAAATAAAGATACCACAACACATTCAAATCCGATGCCGTTTCACTACACCTCATCCCTCCACCTCCCAGCGTGCCAATTGAACCAATGCGGGAAAATTCGTAAATCCTTCGCCACCGCCTCTGTCCACCCAGTGGCACAAAGTCCGAGTACCACTGCGGTTCGTCTCTGCTCGGCAGGCGCGTGGGGTGGGGCAAAGTGTGGGTACTCCCACCTTTCCCGAGACGTGTTGGCCAGCTTGGAAGCCGAGGACTAATAACCTCTTCTAAAGGGCGCTCTCTAGAGCTCCCACTAGTGGAGGCGCTACTGCCAGCAGTGACAAGAGCAGGCAATTTCAGGGTTGCACCTTTACCTTTGTGTTTAATTCATGCGCAAAATTTACTCTGTCCGAGTTTCATTAAACACGTTTCCGTCTGCACCTGCCAGGGACACTGCAGCTCAATCCCAGAGCTCATCTTCAGTCAAATTCCACCCTTAATTCCAGTAACCGTCGTGCGCTTAAGTGAATTGCTCCCGATTTCATTTGATCGTACGCAAAGTGGATCAAGATCAATAACTGCGTCTCTTCACATGTGGTTTGGCACAGCTGGGCAGCAGGGTTCCCTACCGCCACCGCCGCCACTCATCGCCAGTGCCAATTAAGCCACAACCGAGAAACTACAAAGTCCCTCCTCGTTAGAGCTACTCACCCAGAACTCAATTAGGCTTTGCTGACGGGCGAACGGTGGCGGTGGAGGGGGTGCTCGTGGGTGGGGTGGCTGATGGGAGATTTGGCTGTCTAATCAACTGCACACTATCTGCTTCAGATAGTCAGCTTCATAACATCAACTTCACAGTGACATATTCACACTCAACTTCATGCCATCAACTTCAGAACATCAAATGAATACCATCAACATCACACACATCAACTTCACCAACTTCACACCATCAAATCCACAGATTTACTCGTGGTGTGGTATGAATCTGGCCACACACCCAAGGTGTTGTGTAACTCCGCAACGCTGCTTTCAATATTATTGGACCCCAAAAGCCTTGGACAGTTGTATAAAACAGCTTAAGTGAAAGATTGCCTTACTTTAGGGTATAGTGACTGAGATGGGACGCAAGGGGAAATTCACTTAAATTGTTTCACTCAACTTAGCACGTGGGACTTTTATTCTGACACAATATCTGCAGTGCTGAGGCAACGATCCCCAATGTCTCTATTCCAACTCCTTTGTGCCTCGGATTTCTATTATAAAGCGGCTCCTGTTTATATAACATTGCCTGAAACTTTTATATGAGCCCAGAAGGCAACATTAGTGCTTTAGACTGTGAACAAATTATTATTGTATACATTTGACATTCGCAGTATTCTCATAGCACAATGCTATCACAAAGGCACAGGCACAGTCTGCAGTAGTTTCACAGTAGGGGGCGATGTTGCTGAGCCCAATTCAGTTATTTGCGATGTCATTTTTTCAAATTTGGACCGTGGTGCCGGCACGTAACGGTCTCCTCTCTTCAAATGACTTCACTGGATCTTTAACGTTCGCTGGGAAGCAGACGGTGCATATTATGTCATTGTTAATACACCGCCACAGTGATAACCAGGGCTGCCTGTCGGATTCGAACTGCGAACCTCTGCAACAAGCAGTGAACGCACTACCGCTGGTCGTGTCGCCATCAAGCACATTTATGCATATCATGTTCCAGAGGTGTGGACTCGAGTCATGTGACTTGGACTCGAGTCAGACTCGAGTCATGAATTTGATGACTTCAGACTCGACTTGGACTTGCATAACAATGACTTTGTTCCACCTCTGAGGTGTGGACTCGAGTCATGTGACTTGGACTCGAGTCAGACTCGAGTCATGAATTTGATGACTTCAGACTCGACTTGGACTTGCATAACAATGACTTTGTCCCACCTCTGAGGTGTGGACTCGAGTCATGTGACTTGGACTCGAGTCAGACTCGAGTCATGAATTTGATGACTTCAGACTCGACTTGGACTTGCATAACAATTACTTTGTCCCACCTCTGAGGTGTGGACTCGAGTCATGTGACTTGGACTCGAGTCAGACTCGAGTCATGAATTTGATGACTTCAGACTCGACTTGGACTTGCATAACAATGACTTTGTCCCACCTCTGTCATGTTCTGCTATGTAAGAGACAAACCACAGGAGTGCGACTGTGGCCATGCAAGCCCGACTATGCACCACGCGGTGAACCACTTTCGCCTGCGCTCCTTCGACGGAGGAGGAACAGCAACACGACACGAACTCTCTCTCTCTCTCTCTGAATCCTGTCGTCGTGGCACGCACACCTCCACATTGGCATCGAGCTCCTGGACGCACAGCCATCATGAACAAGAACAGACGAGTGTCTGCTATGATAAATCAAACACGTTGCTGCGATACTGCGCTGGCACTGATGCATGCGCACAAGGCCAGTCACAAACACAACTCAACACACGCGGGCAACGACCTTTCTTTGTTGCACGTGTCTGCACTCTGAAGGGCCGTGAGGTTCAACCAACACACAGACAGCACACTGCTTCTGTGCAAAATATTCCTTACATATTTATGTGTTGTTTGGGACTTCTGGTTTTGTGGCCTGCACAATTACTCTGTTATAATAGGGTTTCTCATCATTTTAATTTTGACCATGAAGGACAATTGCCCGAAACGTCGCGTCCTGTAAATTTCCTGTTCGGGCCACGATGTTATTGACAAATGTGAGTTTCTGCTCCGATATGAGCCCTTAATTATACTGTACTCTCATCCCGTATCCTACTGTGGTGAGCTACACCCACGAGACTTACATAACGGATACTTAAACACATGTATTGGTGATACCGCGTTGGCAGCGGTGCACGAGCAAACACTAAGTATTGTTTGTTGACACATTGGTTGCTTAGGTGCATCCAGCATGGGGGCGGCAGTTGTTTAGCCATAATTCACCACGGTGTTAGATTCACGACGGTAGTCATTGCGAGGAGATGGAACGAAGAACTCAGATCGTGCGCAGCTGCTGGTTGGATTGTTAAGTCGCAGGATCGTGAGAGGCAGCGGCTGTGGGAGGCCTTCATCCAGCAGTGGATTGGCCATGGCTGGTGACAGTTTAGTGTTAAGTTTAATAAGAGTGATGATGATGAGCGTTAAAGTCCGCCTGTGAAGGACTGCGAACGCACAGAATCAACCACACGTAGCAAAGTGTCGCGATTTTGTAATTGACTCTGTGAAGCGAATACAATCGTCGTATTTACCTCAAGCTCATCTATTACCACGATATCTGCAGTATATTAATTCGTCACAAAGCTAACATGAATGATACAACAAACAAACACATTTGACCACGCGTAGGCCGTAGCGCACTTGGGAGCGCTCGGCTAGATTATTCGCCGGGCGACTCGCACCCTCCCCGGGAAGCCTTCTATCCTAGAAGAGCCTATCCCGTAAGAGCCCGGGGAGGCGTTCCCTCGGTCAGGATCGAGTGGCGAGTGAGAGCCGTGGGGGGTGGGGTGGGTGGGGGTCATACTTCACCTTTCCAGAGGCGCCGTCCCCCAAGATGACGATCTTGAGCTGCTTGTCCTGCGGCGTCTCCTCCTCCGAGTCGGACATGGCTCGGCTCGGGTCGCGAGAGTCGGGCCCTTAGCGACCGCGAGCGTCCTCACGGACACGACGGGGACGCTTTACAGTGACAGTGCGCGGGACTCGTGAATCTCTCTCTCTCTCTCTCGAGTCTCTGTGTCTCTGTGTCTGTGTGGTCGTCGTCGTCGTCGTCGCCGCTGTGTGTGTGCGACTGTTGAGGGCGCGGGCCGCTCGGCGCGTGGCGCGGCTGCTTGCCGGGGCGTGCGGCGCGACGGGAGCCGCTGCCTCTGCCCGGGTCGCCATGGCAACAGAGTTGGAGGGCGCTCGGCTTTGATGGCGGTCGCCAAGCAACGGCGGTCGCCAGGCGACGGCGGCGCTCAGGAAGCCCGCGGGCCTCCCGTCCGGAGCCCCTCTCTCTCGACTCGGGGTACCTTGGCCTACTCTTCACCGCTGGCCTCGGCGTCTTGTGACCGGCGGGGAGTGCCCACACTTCCCCCACCACAACGCGACCCGCCCCCACCGGCCGGCTCCCGGCTGTCGTCGTGAGCCAGTGTCGGGACGAGCTCCTTTATCCGCGGTGATGAGCGGCTCGCGGACTCGTCACCCGCGGGGTAAACTCGCAGGTCACCCGCGGGGTAAACTCGCAGGTTACCCGCGGGGTAAACTCGCAGGTTACCCGCGGGTTGCCGATGGAGCTTGACGCGCGATGACCGGGTGCCGTCCCGCGAGGACTCGCGGGGAGTGCGCCGAGAGTGGCGGGTGGTTTCTTGAGAACTGCTTTGCTTAGTTGAGTTTGTTGTCCTTCCCCGCACGTCCGATCAGCGCAGTTGGCTACGTACGGTGCGAAGGAAGTTCAACACACACATGCGGCATCATAGGAAGGAGAGGGTCGCACATGAGACGAGTTCTTATGTATGCTGCTGCTGGGAGGACAGAGGCGGTAGTGAGGGGGGGGGGTAAGATAACAATCATGTGCGTTGGGCTACTAAGTTGTCAATGTTTTTACGAAGTAACAATAAAGTATGTTAGCTGTGGCCGTGGTTTATGTGTCCTGTTGAACTTCTTTCGCACCGTACGTAGCCAACCGTGCTAATCGGGGGCGTGTTTAGGATGGATGTTTGTGTTCCAGTTGGTGTATTTTGTATTGCAGATTCTGTGTGTTGTGTTAAAGTTGTTGTGTTAAAGTTGCTGTGTTTGTGTTGAAATTTCTGTTTATGTAAAGTGTTGTGTTAACACCCAAGTGATGTGTTAACGCCGTCCTATAACTATGGTTACTTTTCAAAACACAACAAATGATCTTCACTGATATCAACACAATATTTTATTTATGTATCATGCGATTTCAGTCTTTAACATACTTTCCCCATGAAAACGTTACGCAATTATATATCTGTACACTGCATTGCATACTCTGTAATTGTAGGTCTGTGTGAGTCCATGGGTCTCTATGATTCTATGGAACTCCACGTGAGTCTTAGAGCAGTTAGTGATATGAATAGTGATGCTGTCAACTCGTAACGTGCCGTCACAGGAGGAGGAGGAACCACAGACGAGCGGGAAGGCGGCAGCATCCATGCTCTGCGATCCTCCCTTTATAAGGATGGTGGGAGATGGTGCAGGGCAGCTCGTGAAGGCCGCTGTGTGTCTCCCGTGCAGCATTTGCCGGATCTGACCGAGGTGAAAGACGATGGTGGCGTGGATGAATGGTGCTCGTGGTATAAGATGCTCTGGCTACGATTTTCGGGATGTTTTTGGACAATGCCACGTACATTGTGTGTGCGTTCATTTGTTTAGACCGGAGAACCTGGAAGAAACCCGTGCAGAACAGGGGCAGAACACAGACACTTCACACAGACAGATCGACATAGTCCCTCTTGGTTACGCAGCGAGGCGCCGCGGGGTAATTACCTTGCACGCTCGTAACGACGTCGTTAACTGGTTTTGCTGGAAGATAAATAATCTCACCGAGTTGTTTATTTTCCTAGATAATAGCTGCTTTGTGTGGACACGTGCCTGCGTGCGTGCTGCGGACGTGTGTGCGTGATCCCTGCCTGCGAGCCCGCCTGCGTGTGTGCTTGCCTGCCTGTGCGTGCTGTGTGCGTGAGTGTGTCTGCCTGCATGTGCGTGCTGCGTGAGTGTGTCTGTCTGCCTGCATGTGTATGTGCGTGCTGTGTGTGTGTCTGCCTGCATGTGCATGTGCGTGCTGTGTGTGTGTCTGCCTGCATGTGCGTGCTGTGTGCGTGAGTCTGCCTGCATGTGTATGTGCGTGCTGTGTGAGTGTCTGCCTGCATGTGTATGTGCGTGCTGTATGTGCGTGCTGTGTGTGTGTGTGTGCCTGCATGTGCGTGCTGTGTGTGTGAGTCTGCCTGCATGTGTATGTGCGTGCTGCATGTGCGTGCTGTGTGTGTGTGTGCTGTATGTGCGTGCTGTGTGTGTGTGTGTGCTGTATGTGCGTGCTGTGTGTGTGTCTGCGTGTGGCTCTTCTATCCCTGCGCACGGCAGTGTGGGTCACGAGCTGAGCACCGATGTCGAGCTCTGCTCGTGGCCACCGCCAGAATCCTTCTGGACAGAGTTCGTGTCGCTTCGTCGCAGGAGCGCAGTCCTCAGTGGGTTACCGTGTGGCCCTGGTCTGGCGTACGTGGCTACAGTCTGTGGATTGTTTTCGATGTCAATGTGAGATTCTGTCTGCCCCTTGTGTCTCTACTTCTCCACTCTCTACTTCTCCAGCGAGGTGTGCTGCGCATTGGCCGGGCGACGTCGCCTTGTGGCTGATGGCTCCACGAGGACACCCATTCAACGGATCGAGTTTGATCAATTCAGCACTGAATTATGGTTGACGATGAAAAATAAACCCAGTGTTCAATTAGTGGTGTGGTTACAACTGTCGTTTTTGCATTACCGGTATTCGCATTAAATACCGGTGAGAAAAACCGGTTACCGATTTGCCGCCCATGGAGAAACACCGAGCGCAATAAACGCAACTCCGAATCGCGGGCACGAAGTCTCGTCCCGATCGGTGCCCTGGACACGACAACCGGCTCCTGACCATCGATTCTGAAGACATTTACCGGTTTACTGCCGATGGTTTACAAATCACGTGTGCAATGCAGTATACACATTCCTGTGATTATTTGTCCATTCTTTGTATTTGCATCTCCTTTGCGAAGTCGATTCGGCTATCAATGGGATCACACCCGTGTCGTAGAATCGCGATTGTTCATCCAGGAAAGCCTCCCTGAGTCCCAAGACTTATTATCAATCGGGAGGGTTCTGCCACGTTCCCACAGGAGGGAGGCGATGCTGCTGCTGCTGCTGCGTGTGACGTTTTGCAGTTAAGTTTTCAGCATTGGGATGTGTTGGCCAACGCCCGTTACATTATGTGTAGATTGTATGTTGTTATTGGGGGAGAACCCCCACGTAGGAAATGGGGAGAACATACAGTCATAACAAATACAAAGATCCCCGTATATCCTGATCATACACCTGGGGCTAGTGCTGATAGCGAGTAGCTATGAGGGCCGGCACGGCACACGAGGGAGGTGGGTGGCCAGTATCACGCCCTACCGCCTTTGTCTCCCTAGTGGCAACGGTAACGTACCATACCAGGTACTCATTTGAGGCTGAGTCGACCTAGGGGAGGCCCACGACTGGTTGGTAGCGCTTCACACACAGACAAAGATCTTTTATCTTTGTCTGTGTGTATGTGTGCGTGTGTATGTGTGTGTCTGTGTGTCTGTGTGTGTCTGTGTGTCTGGGTGTCTGTGTGTGTATGTGTGTGTATGTGTGTGTGTCTGTGTGTCTGTGTAGCGGTAGTGCAGCGGTTAGCGCGCTAAGCACCTCCGAACCGAGTTCGATTCGCGCGCACGGAGACCCCGTGACAAGTATCTGAACCCGTTCTGGGCCTCTCCTAGGTCGACTCAGCCTCAAATAAGTACCTGGCGCGATGTGTAAACATCGCCACTAGAGAGACATGGCAGCCGGTCGTGGTGTTGGCCACCCACCCCCTCGTGTGCCGTGCCGGCCTTCATAGGTACTCGCTATCAGCACTTGTCCCTAGAGTCTGCTAAGGCGATAATAGAGGGGACCTTTGCCTTCGTATATAGATATATCGGCGTGTGTGTGTATATATATATGTGTGTGTGTGCGCTATTAACATGACGGAACGCCAAACGGGTTTATGTAAAGCTGACAGTTTGTCACAATAACCTGCCTTGTAGTGCCATCACACACACGTACACACACACATCCAGAGTGTGTGTGTACGTGTGTGTACGTGCGCGTACACCCACAAACACACGTGCGTGCAGTAGTCGGGCGTCAGAGCCCCTCAATCCACTGCTGCATGAAGGGCTCCCCACGCCGCGTGGCTCGCGGCGGGGAGGGTGTTGACCAAACTCCACCAGGTGGGTGCCCAGGGCCGCTTCTCATCGCACTCACCACGGATGTCGCCATGAGTGGCGGGGAGTTGAACTCCGTGCACCGGGTACACAGCACCAGCTCGCGAGCCAGTGCTCCACCGCTCTGGCGCACATTACATGTGTGTGTGTGTGTACACGTGTGTGTGGGTGTATACACGTGTGGTCTCGCTAGCTTTCTATCGGCTGTAGCCTCTCACTCCACGGGAGGCGATGAACTTGGTTCACCAATGTGTGTTTGATGTGTGTTTGTGTGTGATGTGTGTTTGTGTGTGATGTGTGTTTGTGTATTTGTGTGTTTGTGTGTGATGTGTGTTTGTGTGTGATGTGTGTTTGTGTTTGTGTGTGATGTGTGTTTGTGTGTTTGTGTGTGGTGTGTGTTTGTGTGTGGTGTGTTTGTGTGTTTGTGTGTTGGTGTCTGTTGGTGTGCTTGTGTGTTTGTGTGTGGTGTGTGTTTGTGTGTTTGTGTGTGGTGTGTGTTTGTGTATTTGTGTGTTTGTGTGTGATGTGTGTTTGTGTGTGATGTGTGTTTGTGTGTGATGTGTGTTTGTGTGTTTGTGTGTTTGTGTGTGGTGTGTGTTTGTGTGTGGTGTGTTTGTGTGTTTGTGTGTTGGTGTCTGTTGGTGTGCTTGTGTGTTTGTGTGTGGTGTGTGTTTGTGTGTTTGTGTGTGGTGTGTGTTTGTGTGTTTGTGTGTGGTGTGTGTTTGTGTGTTTGTGTGTGATGTGTGTTTGTGTGTGATGTGTGTTTGTGTGTGATGTGTGTTTGTGTGTTTGTGTGTTTGTGTGTGGTGTGTGTTTGTGTGTGGTGTGTTTGTGTGTTTGTGTGTTGGTGTGTTGGTGTGCTTGTGTGTTTGTGTGTGGTGTGTGTTTGTGTGTTTGTGTGTGGTGTGTGTTTGTGTGTTTGTGTGTTTGTGTGTGATGTGTGTTTGTGTGTGATGTATGTTTGTGTGTGATGTGTGTTTGTGTGTTTGTGTGATGTGTGTTTGTGTGTTTGTGTGATGTGTGTTTGTGTGTTTGTGTGTGTGTGATGTGTGTTTGTGTGATGTGTGTTTGTGTGTTTGTGTGTGATGTGTGTTTGTGTGTGATGTGTGTGGTGTGTGTTTGTGTGTTTAGCGCGAAGAGCAAAGAATCCACTCCGCGCCCTCGCGAGTCTCCAACAGCGCGAGGATTCTCATCACCCACGAGGCGCCCTCGCCGCTCGAGACCCAACACCACTGCTATACACTTACATATCATAAGCCACTTCGTTGGCATATCCTTTGTAGCTCAGTGGGCCTTACCTGGTGAAATGTTTTTAAAAATATTTCATTTAGAACATCATGAGAATTCACGCCGGTCACTCACCCAGCTCTGTATGTCAGATACAGTTACACCGACTCGCACCGTTAAAGTATTTATATTTACAAAACAAATAAATACACGTTAGCTTTCACACTGTGTCTGTGTATATATGTAATCTTAGCATTCAAAATGCAACAATGATTACAGAAACGACGCATACATTTGAAGCAAGCCTGAGCACTGCTGATGAGGAGACACTGGATGTCGGAGTTGTTGTTTGTGTTGAACCAATGCTGCTGCTGCTGCTGCTGAGACGCACGTCCAGAAGGAAGGAAGGGCCATACGGCTGATAGGAGGTATACAATAATCACCGTTATATGCGGAGGAGGAGGAGGCGTGGAGTCTGTTTGGTGATCATTTAGATTGTTCATGATGGCACCTGCGTCTCAGAAATAGCTCTCTTCATACGCGACAGCAATTTTGCTGGAGCAGCCACCTGATGACGGAGGCTTGTGTTGCCTTCGAAACGCCGTGATTTGTTTTAATTTAGTTGTTTTCATTTTAATGTATTTTATTTAGTTTTTTACCTACGTAACTTTACCGAAAAAAAAACAAAGAGTACTTGCGATGTTGTATACGATGTTGTGTTGCTGTATGTGTTGTTGTTGTGTTGCTGTAAGGTTGATGTTGTGTTGCTCTATGAGTGATGTTGTGTGGCTATATTGTTGATGTTGTGTTGCTCTATGTGTTGAGTGTAAAATAGAGTGGTTGTCTCAATGATCGCAGAGTTATAATGAGCAGCAGCAAGAGTATCGGCAGCCGTCACGAACGCACGTGTCTATATACTGTATATGCCGCATTGTCATTGAACATCGCACGCATTTCATAAGACGGATTTCCCTGAGGGGTCAGACGTTGTACCGACACGTGGTTATTTACCGCCTTCTCCGGAGTATAAGACGCTCCGGAAAGTAAGACGCACCCCAAACTTGTTCCCGGCGTCACTCAACGTTCGCGAATCAGGCCACACGCCCACCGGAGGAGAAGACGCACCCCGGGTCGCATCATGACGCAGCGGGGGAACGAAGTACGTCTTACAATCCGGTATGATTGTAATAAATTAACCGCACAACCACGCCGAGTTTGGAAGGACTAATTTGCATGTAAAAGTACTGCACACAAAGACCCCCGTATAGCCTTGGCAGACGGTTGGGGGCAAGTGCTATTTGTGAGCACCTATTAAGGCTGGCACGAGTTTTCGTCAGCTCCACTCCCGGCCGCCTTTGTCTCTCGACACACCACAACACTAATTTAAGGCTGAGTCGACCTAGTTGGTGCTGAATCGAACCTAGTTCGCCCGGTTCGTAGTGCAATGCGCTAACCGCTGCGCCACCGCTCCCTCCCCCCCCCCCCCCCCCCCACATAGACATACACTACAGTACACACACACATAGACATTTACTACACACACAAACACTCTATATATACAGGGTGTACACACACACACAGACATATACTACACACACTCTCTCTATATATACACAGGGTGTACACATAGACATTTACTAGGCACACATACACGTTCGTACACTGCATATATATTATACAAGCGTTAGTTGTCCAATGATCATGTGGTTGGAGTAAGTGCCGTTCGTTCTGACTGACCGTGATGGGATCGATCAGGGGTATTCGTCCATCCTTACAACGATTCCTTCTCTCGGACAGGACAAATCAAAATCAGCTCGTCAATCCTTGATGCACACGTGATGTTCGGGTAAGGCCACGTCACGATCTGGCCACGTTTGTGTCGTCAAGACCGTGCACCACCCGACACAGCACGCGCGTTGTGCGAGCGGTGGAGCGACTGGCCGAGCATTCTCCGCTCACTCGAGTCGGGGAACCGCGCTCACTGCCCAATTCAGAATTGAGATTTAAACACAAAATCGTAAGTCGCTTCCAGGACGCAGCGATTGAGTTTTAAGTGGAATTTTCAAAGGGAAATTCACCCCCTCTGTAGGACGGGCTGCCCTCGAAAATATTCATCCACACGTGAACGATTTCATCATATGACGAAATGTTATCATCGAGATGCTACGGTGAAAAATGTTCGGGTTTTAAACGATAACCGGTTAAACTGGTAACCGTTTCCAGAATATATTACCGGTTCGGAATGTGTATGAACCGTAGCGATTGTTTAGTTATTTACCAACGTGCCCCCCGCACGGCCTGAATAGGGTGCACACTCAGGGTTGGTGTCGCTACGCCCGGCCGCCTTTCTCTCCCCAGTGGGAATGTTCACACACCGCATCAGGTACTATACTCATTACAGGTTGAGTCGACCTCGCGGATCCCTCGGACCAATTACTGGTCGTGAGTGGGAATCGAACTCGGATCGCCGGGTTCGTAGTGCAGTGCGCTAATCACCGCTCCGCCCTAGACACACGCACATATATATAAATATATAATAGACCCGGCTCTTCTGATGCGCCCAGGCAGGCGAAACCCAGAGTGTTGCGTGTGGAAGCCCGATAGGTTGAAGTGCTAAATATAAATGTATTTTTATTTATCTGTAAGAAAGCCCGAGGTGGAGTTGTTTATTTGGTTTTCAGATTATTTCGCACCAACGCTCCACTACGTTTATCGGGCGCTCTGGGTGAAATCACGCATCGACTAACAGCATCGACTAATAGCATCGTTTATTTAAAATCAAGATAAATAACATCACATCATGAGCATCTGTGGTGTGGGCGCTATAGTTTCTGTAGCTGTTGTGTGCTTATGTGTGTGCAGTTCTGTACTACTGTGTATGCTGCTGTATGTGCGGTGTGTACTGATACTGTGTGTACTGATACTGTGTGTACTGATACTGTGTGTACTAATGATATGTGTACTGCTGTGTGTATTGCTGTGTGTGCACTGCTATGTGTGCTAATGTTGTGTGTGCTAATGCTGTGTGTACTAATGCTATGAGTACTGCTGCGTTTACTGCTGTGTGTACTGATCCCGATTGAGTGATTAATTTACAGTGTCATGTTTCACTACTTGGACCGTGACGCCGTTTCGTCACTGGATCTTAAATGTTAAATTGTGAAGCCATCATCTTACGTGCGATGAAGAGGGTCTACTGTCCTAAACGTCGCCTATTGCATATATATATATATGTGTGTGTGTGTTGAGTTTCTGTACAGTTAAGCGTATTTTATTGTTAATACATAGGCCGCAGTATTAATCAGGGCGGCCTGATGAATACTGCTGCCCGGAGTCGAACCGCGAAGCTCTGCACCAAGCGGGCAGCGAACGCCCCCACGAAGCGCGCCGGGGAGACTGCGCACCACGTGGTCACAGTCCCCGTGGCGAGGGCGGCACGCCGCTCGTGCACGCACGCGTACTTGACACGAGCACACACATACAAAGATCCCCCGTGTAGCCTCTACAGACTGTCGGGACAAGTGCCATGAGGAGTGAACGCCTATGAAGGCACGAAGACACACGCGTGTGTGCAGGGACCTCCCGTTTATTAGCGCGGCCCACGGGGACCGCGCTGTTCGCGAGCACCCGTGAAGAGAACCAACACTGCACAACCACACGATACAAAGATCCCCCGTGTAGCCACGCAGACTGCTGGGGAAAGTGCTGTTAGCGAGCACCTATTAAGGCCGGCACTGCACACGTACACGCGGGATTCACACTGGCGCGTCGACAGCGCAGACTGAGCGAGTGCGTGGGACTCTTGTGAGGAGCGTCGAGGAATTCACCAACGTACATTTCACATGGCCCCGTTCTGCTGATGAGAGCTCGAATGTCGAAACGGCTCAGCGTTTTCTTGCTTTAAAACACACAAAGCCAGAGTGAATCCATGCTGTTCAAATAAGCATCGAGGCATTGGCGCTAATCTATTTACAGCCCTGAAGAGCCAGTGGTGGAATTTCCACATTCATGTGACGGGGGCGAGTCATTCCATAGGACAACCACTGCTAACTTTCCCCACAAAGTGTAACCAATTTTATTGGCCCCCGGCGTGAAGGAGGGATGATGATGATGATGGGCTGAGTCAGCCTCCCACCCCGGCCAGGTTGTGAACTCGCGCCACCGCTTGCTGCTGGCCACGTGGCAGCAGGTCTTGCAGCATCATCATCATCATCAGCAGCAGCAGTATCATCATCATCATCAGCTGCTGCTGCTGCTGGTGGTGGTGGCCCGGCGTGGTGTCCCGTCTACTGGGAGGGGGAGACTCGGGGGTGCTCCGGACTCCTCGCCAAGTCCACGACGAACGAGGGTGGACGATCTCCCCCCTCCGCGGTGTTCCACCCCCCACACCGCCGGGCCGCCCTCACCGCTGCTGCTGCTGCTGCTGGAAGGGCGCCGTGAGCGCGTCGCTCTGCTGCTGCTGCTGGACCTGGAGGAGCGCGGGCCCCGCAGGGCCGGGCCTCCAGTACGCGGGCAGCTGCAGCAGCGCTGCAGCCAGCGGGAAGGCTTGCTGATGATACTGCTGCTGATGATAATGATGATGATGCTGCAAGACCTGCTGCTGCTGATGATGATGATGAATGGGTGCCAAGGAAGCGAGGTCGCGCTGCAGCGATCGCGCAGCTCCGGGTATCGGGAGCAGCGCGCGAAGGTCCCCGAGCCCCGGGGCTCCGGCGAGAGCCCCGCACAGGGGCCCGTGTTGGGGTCCAGACGAGGGCCCGTGTTGGGGTCCGTGTTGGGGCCCGTGTTGGGGCCCGTGTTGGGGCCCGTGTTGGGGCCCAGACGGGAGGCCGGCGAAGACTCCGGCCGTGCTGGCGGGGCGGCCCTCGGGGGGGTCCCCACAGACCCGCTGCGTCTCCTGCACGAGGACGCGCACAGCCACCCGGCGCGCTGCGGGCACGGACAGCTGCTGCTGATGATGACGATGACGTTGCTGCAATTGCTGCTGCAGCTGTAGCCGGTAGTGCTGCAGGGCGTGGAAGTGGTGGTTGCCGCTGCGGTTGAGATGTTGGTGGTGGTGTTGTTGCTCCAGCGCACACAGGGTCGCCTGTTGCTGCTGCTGCTGGAGGTGGTGGTGGAGGTGGTGGTGGTGGTGGTGCAGAGCACTCCCTGCCGCCGCCGCTGCTGCCGCGGCCGCCGCCGCTGCCGCTGCCGCCACGTGTCGCCTCTTGGTCTTGTAGCGCCGGTTCTGGAACCAGATCTTGACCTGAGTCTCCGTGAGGCCGAGCGTGGCGGCCACGTCGGCGCGCTCGGGACCCGAGAGGTAGCGCTGCTGGCTGAAGCGACGCTCCAGCTCGAACACCTGCCCACAGCGACAACCACAACAGTGAGAGTGGAGGGGTCGTGGGGGCATTTGTGCGTGAGTGGCGGGGTAGTGGGGGGCACCTGAGCGTGAGTGGCGGGGTCGTGGGGGGCACCTGAGCGTGAGTGGGGGGGTCGTGGGGGGCACCTGAGCGTGAGTGGGGGGGGGTCGTGGGGGGCACCTGAGCGTGAGTGGCGGGGTCGTGGGGGGCACCTGAGCGTGAGTGGCGGGGTCTTGGGGGGCACCTGAGCGTGAGTGGGGGGGTCGTGGGGGGCACCTGAGCGTGAGTGGGGGGGTCTTGGGGGGCACCTGAGCGTGAGTGGGGGGGTCGTGGGGGGCACCTGAGCGTGAGTGGGGGGGTCGTGGGGGGCACCTGAGCGTGAGTGGGGGGGTCGTGGGGGGCACCTGAGCGTGAGTGGGGGGGTCGTGGGGGGCACCTGAGCGTGAGTGGGGGGGTCGTGGGGGGCACCTGAGCGTGAGTGGGGGGGTCGTGGGGGGCACCTGAGCGTGAGTGGGGGGTCGTGGGGGGCACCTGAGCGTGAGTGGGGGGGTCGTGGGGGGCACCTGAGCGTGAGTGGGGGGGTCGTGGGGGGCACCTGAGCGTGAGTGGGGGGTCGTGGGGGGCACCTGAGCGTGAGTGGGGGGGTCGTGGGGGGCACCTGAGCGTGAGTGGGGGGGTCGTGGGGGGCACCTGAGCGTGAGTGGGCGGGTCGTGGGGGGCACCTGAGCGTGAGTGGGGGGGTCGTGGGGGGCACCTGAGCGTGAGTGAAGGCCGCTCGGGACCGCTTCTTCCGAGGGAGGGGGTCCCCCCCGCGCGGCGTCTCAACCATTCTTGACGGGCTGCTGATGCTGCTGCTGCTGATGCTGCTGCTCCTGCTGTTGATGCTGTTGCTGCTGCTGATGCTGCTGGTGTTGGCGATCCCACCGCTGTTCCTGATGCTGCTGCTGATGCTGCTGCTGTTGCTGCTGCTGTTGCTGCTGATGACGCTGCCGATGATACTGCTGGTGTTGATGCTGCTACTGTTGACGCCGTTGCTGCTGATTATGCTATTGGTGATTTTGCTGTTGGTGATGCTGCTGATGATGATGCTGCTGATGCTGCTGCTGATGCTGGGTACTCGTGAGCAAGTCGCGTGTCCTGTACACGCACACGCACGCAACCATTTTATGCAGGTGAGAGTCCAAGCGAGCAGAACAGAATCGCATTGCAAGAGTGAGTGGGTGAGGTGAGTGAGCGGGTGAGTGAGCGGGTGAGTGAGCGGGTGAGTGGATGAACGAGCCGGTGAGTGAGTGGATGAGTGAGATGATGAGTGAGATGATGAGAGAGATGATGGGTGAGATGGTGGGTGAGTTTGCGGGTAAGTGGGTAATTGATTAGGGGAGATGAAGAGTGAGTGACTGAATGAGCGGGTGAGTTGGTGAGTGAACGGGTGAGTGAGCGAGTGAGTGAGCGGTGTCATGGTTGAGATGGTGCGTGAGGGAAGACGGTGAGTGAGTGAGTGAGTTGAGGTTTCAAGGTGACTCTGTGTGTATTCCGGGTGAGAACTCAAGAGACCAGAATACGGAGTGGCCTGGCACACCAAGCCGCAAAATCACAAAGAGAACTCAGAACAAACCCAAAATCGACTACCACGTGGGAAACCACAAATAGCGCACAGACGAAATGAATCGTCGTTAAATAAAATCTGCGCGCGGCCACATCAACAACAACCACGAAGTGGCGGTGACATCACAACGGCGCTTGTGCCAGGCTCGGTGCAATGTGAGGCCACGTGAAGTGTCGAAGTCCCACTGACAGGTCACGGAACAGACCCAGAGACCCAGAGACCCAGGTGCCCAGGTGCCCAGGTGCCCAGGTGCCCAGGGCCGACTGACCGAGACGACTGGCAGATTCACCAGCGGTGCTCCCCACTGTGCCGACTTTCTGCGTTTTAGCTGCCCGGCCCTCTGCTCGCTGTTGTGAGCGTCGCTCCGAGGGCCACTATAGATCCCCCGTGTAGCCTTCACAGACTGTTGGGGCAAGTGCTGTTAGCGAGCAGCACCTGTGAAGTCCGGCACGGCACACAAGGGGGTGGATGTGCAGCACCACGCCCTGGCCGCCTTTGTCTCCCTAGTAGCGATGTTTACACACCGCACCTGGAACGTATTTGAGGCTGAGTCGACCTAGGGGAAGCCCATGACCGGTTCAGTTAATTGTCACCGGTGTTGACCGTGAGCGGGATTCGAACCCGGTGGTTAGGATTGTAGCGCAGCGTAGCGCTCACCACGAGACCACCGCTCCGCTCTGACGCATCCCATTAACATCGCGAGTGACGTTCGTTAATTGTTATTGTTATGGTAATACAGTAGTGACATCCTCTATGCGGCTGGATTTTATCTTCGATCTCTGCTGTGTTCTCCCCCGCACCCATGCCGTGTTGTGTCGTCTCTCTCTCTCTCGTCTTTCTCGTGTCTCTCTCTTGTGTCTCGTACCATTTGTGGCGTTGGTGTGGTTTGCGATGTTCAGCGGTTTATAATAAATGTTACATGAATGACGATGTGTATATGTATATATGTGTGTATAAATGTGTATATGTATATATGTGTGTCTAAATGTGTATATGTATATGTGTATATGTGTGTCTAAATGTGTATATGTATATATGTGTGTCTAGATGTGTATATGTGTGTATGTGTCTAAATGTGTATATGTATATATGTGTGTCTAAATGTGTATATGTGTGTGTGTATGTGTGTGTATGTGTGTGTATGTGTGTGTATGTGTGTATGTATGTGTGTATGTATGTGTATGTATATATGTGTGTGTGTGTATGTGAGTTGGAGGCGCTGCTGCTGAGACTGGAGCGTGCCACTAAGAGGTGGGGCCTTACCATCAGCCCCACCAAAACCAAGCACCTGCCTGGGTATTTTGTACCATCGGACACTCCACCCCCACAACTCCCAATTGGTGATGGGGCAGTTGTGGAGAGAGTGGAGAGTTTCCCATACCTGGGCAGTGTGCTTATGACCGGCTCCAGTCTATCAGCAGAGGTCTCACTCCGAATCAGTCGAGCGGCAATATCTTTTCATCGGTTGCGTAACGCTGTGTGGAAGCTACCTGGTCTGTCGCTCCGCACGAAGCTTCAGGTCTTCTCGGCCACGGTCATTCCCTCCCTTCTCTACGCTTGCGAGACGTGGACCCCCCTGGTGGAGCATCTTCGCCGGTTGGAAACATTTAGGCTGGCCTGCCTACGATCCATCCTGGGTTTAACCAGGCTGGATTGTGTGAGGAGCTCACAAATCCTTGAAAGATCTGGGCAAAGTCCCATCAGTGAGCCCCTCCGGCAGGCAAGGCTGCGTTGGCTGGGTCATGTAGCCCGCATGCCCAGCCACCGCATGCCTAAACAGCTTTTGTTCGGCCGGATCGAGGGGGCTAGACGGGCGCGGCACGGGCTGGAGAAGAGATGGAGTGATGTGGTACAGGAGGACGTGGAGCTGAGTGGACTTGCCGATGACTGGTACCAGCGGTGTCAAGATCGGCCTCAGTGGAGGAGGCTCGTGAAGGACGCTACTGGGCAGTTGGAGGCAGTCGCCCTCCAACAACAACGGAGGGCGGAGGAGCGACGCTCACAACAACGAGCGGAGCGCCGGGTGGCTAAAGCACAGCAAGTTGGCACAGTAGGGGGCACAGGTGGTGCATCAGCCAGTCATCTCGGTCATCTCGGTCAGTCGACCAGTGGCACCTGGGTCTGCCCCGTGACCTCCTGCCAGCGGGCTTTCGACACTTCACGTGGCCTCAAGGTGCACTTGGCCTGGCACAAGCATCGTGGTGACGTCACCGCCACTTAGTGGCGAATGGCGGTTGTTGTTGTTGTATGTATGTGTGTATGTATGTGTATGTATATATGTGTGTGTGTGTATGTGTGTGTGTGTATGTGTGTGTGTATATGTGTGTGTGTATATATGTGTGTGTGTGTGAGTGTGTATGTGTGTGTATATGTGTGGGTGGGGAGCGGTGGTGTAGCGGTTAGCGCGCTGCGCTATGAACCTGGCGACCCGGGTTCGATTCCCGCTCACGGCTAACACCAGTGACGATTATCTGAACCGGTCCTGGGCCTCCCCTAGGTCGACTCAGCCTTAAATGAGTACCTGGTGCGGTGTGTAAACATCGCCACTGGGGAGACAAAGGCGGTCGGGCGTGGTGCTGGCCACCCACCCCCTCGTGTACCGTTCCGGCCTTCATAGGTGCTCGCTAACAGCACTTGCCCCTACAGTCTGTTAAGGCTATACGGGGGATCTTTATCTTATATATGTGTGTGTGTGTGAGTGTGTATGTGTGTGTATATGTGTGTGTGTATATATGTGTGTGTGTGCGTGGTGAGAAGTTGCGCAATGCACTGAGTGCGCTGCACGGGGAACTCGGCAATCACGGGACGAGTCCTGCTCATGGTCAACATGGGCTACGAATTATCTGAAACGGTCCTGGACCTCCCCGAGCTTGATTCAGCCTCAAATTAATTCCTGATGCGGTGTGTAAGCATCGTTATTATGAAGACAAAGGCGGCCGGGCGTGGTGCTGGTCACCCACCCCCTCGTGTGTCGTGCCGGTCTTTATCGGTGCTCGCTAACAGCGCTTGCCCCAAAGGTCTGCCAAGACTTTACGGGGGTTTGTCTGTACGTCTATGAATATATAAATATACAGTTCTTGTGTGTGGGCCCACGCTGTGGCTCGGTTGCCGTGAGAGCTCCCTCGCGTGTGTTGGGAATGTCACGGAGCCACGCGGAGAGGAACGCGTGGATCAGAGAACGTACCATGTCAGGATTCACAATCCATGTGTTTGGGTGAAATCTCCGCGTAAATGAAATGTGTGTCGTAAACCCTCCTCCACCCGACATAGCCAGTCAACAATCTTGTCACGTGATGAATCTTCGTGCCTACACGTGACCGTGCCGGCAGCGCCACCGAAGGCCACCGCGTCCGACGACGACTCATCAGTCGGGAAGGCGCCTGTCCAGCGCTGTGCGCGTGGGGGGGGTGGGGGCTGTGGGCAGCGCGTGTGGGGGGGGGGGGGCTGTGGGCAGCGCGGGGGGGGGGGCTGTGGGCAGCGCGGGGGGGGGGGCTGTGGGCAGCGCGGGGGGGGGGGCTGTGGGCAGCACGTGGGGGGGGGCTGTGGGCAGCACGTGGGGGGGGGGGGCTGTGGGCAGCGCGGGGGGGGGGGCTGTGGGCAGCGCGTGGGGGGGGGGGCTGTGGGCAGCGCGTGGGGGGCACACGGAGCAGCCACTCGCCGCGACTAGTGCCGCTCTTCGTGCCGATGGCTCGAGAGGTCTTCGCGTATTTTAGTGCTCGCGGTATCTGCTGCGCATTCAAGAGTGACCCACCGGTTGTGCGTTCGGTGGTTAGCGCGGTGAGCTACGTACTCGGCGACCCGAGTTCGATTCCCGCGCAAGCGCAGCACCAGTGACGATTATCTAAATGAATCGCCTGGTGCGGTGTGTGAACGTCGCCACTGGGGAGACAAAGGCGGCCGGTGATGGTGCTGGTCACCCACCCCCTCGTGTGCTGTGCCGGCCTTCATAGGTGCTCGCTAACAGCACTTACCGAAAACACCTAAGAATAAGCCTGTTAAGGATGTAGGGTGATCTTTGTGGTTGTGTGTATATCTTATACACACATACACAAGTGGCTGGTAGCGTGTGCTTTCACGCTTTCCATCGACTGTAGCGTCTCTCTCCACGGGAGGCGAATTAATCGGTTCACAGATGATGATAGTGGTGGTGATGCTGCTGGCGCTGATGTTGAGTGGGGGGCTCTCTCAGCTGCCCCCCCCCCCGGGCTGAACCCGCTCAGCCTCTGCGCACTCAGCGCGCTGTGGCCCAAACTCGGAGTGAGAACGGCGCTCGCAATTGTCACAACCACGCCCATTCACACACACACAGAGACACACACACACACAGACACACACACACACATACACACACACACATACACACACAGACACACACACACAGACACACACATACACACACAGACACACACACACAGACACACACACATACACACACACAGACACACACATACACACACACAGACACACACACACACACAGACACACACACATACACACACACAGAGACACACATACACACAGAGACACACACACACAGACACACACACACATACACACACAGACAGACACACACACATACACACACACACATACACACACACACAGACACACACACACACAGAGACACACACACACAGACACACACACACATACACACACAGACAGACACACACACATACACACACACACATACACACACACACAGACACACACACACAGACACACACAGACACACACACACACAGACACACACAGACAGACAGACACACACACAGACACACACACACAGACACACACACACATACACACACACACAGACACACACACACACAGACACACACACAGAGAGACACACACACACATACACACACACACAGACACACACACACACACATACACACACAGATACACACACACATACACACACAGATACACTCACACATATACACACACATACACACACACAGACACACACACAAATACACATACACACATACACACACACACAGACACACATACACAGACACATACACACACACACACATACACACACAGACACACACACATACACACAAATACACGTACACACAAACACATACACATATACACATACACACACACACAAATACACACACAAATACACACACATACACACATACAGACACACATATACACAAACACACACATACACACAAATACACACATATACACACAGACACGAGTGTACACACACACACACACAGACACACACACACACAAATACACACACATACACACATATACACACAGACACGAGTGTACACACACACAGACACACGCGGGTGCGGGCAGCAGAGAAGCCAACACGGTTCCCGTGAAGCAGTCCAACTCTCTGACTCCCCTGGGAGATCGCCACAATACACACCAGCCAGTTACAACCACTACACTCAAACACCGTGTGTGTGTGTACTCGTGTGTGTATGTGTGTGTGTACTCGTGTGTGTATGTGTGTGTGTACACTCGTGTGTGTGTACACAATACACACCAGCCAGTTACAACCACTACACTCATACACCGTGTGTGTGTGTGTGTACACTCGTGTGTGTGGCGTGTACGTGTTGACGTGTGTGTAACGTGTGTGTGTACACAATACACACCAGCCAGTTACTACCACTATACTCATACCGTGTGTGTGTGTGTAACGAGTGTGTGTGTGTGGCGTGTACGTTTTTCTCTCTCCTCGTCCGAATTCTCGCGCCACGTTCACCTCGGCAACGTCCAATTGCGTCCCAGTCTCGGCCGATGTCGGCGAGGGGAGCCGTTCGGTGCTGCGTGGTGGACGTCAGCGTCGATCCGGCTGGGTTGGGAGATTGTATGTCAACTGAGTCCCAGTGATGGTCAGATGCATGTCTGGTGAGATGCATGTCTGGTGAGATGCATGTCTGGTGAGATGTCAGTCAGAGATGTCCGAATTTGGTCTCGTTCTCACCAGAACAGTGCCAGGCTCTTGTCCGATCACACAAATTGTGTTCATGCCGCCGCCGCTGCTGCTGCGTTGGCAGTCGCGCACAGTCAACAACAACAACCACCACCACCACCAACCACCAACAACAAACACCACAACCAACAACAACAAAAACCACAACCAACAACAACAAACACCACAACCAACAACAACAAATACCATAACCACCAACAACAACCACCCACAACAAACACCACAACCACCACCAACAACAACCACCCACAACAAACACCACAACCACCACCAACAGCAACCACCCACAACAAACACCACAACCACCACCAACAACAACCACCCACAACAAACACCACAACCAACAACAACACCACAACAACCACCAACAACAAACACCACAACAAACACCACAACAACCACAACTACCAACAACAACAACCTCAACACCAGCAGCTCCACGCGTTCCGTGTCAACAACAACGGCAGCGATGTGGGTGGCCTCCAGACGGAACAGAGACATGAATCGTAGTCGATGTTTCGCGCAACAGCTCTTCTGCAAAGCAATATTATCTATTCATAGCACGCTGATGTAACGTGGTATAGAGAAGGACCATTTCCCGAAACGTCGACTATCATGTTTCCGTGACGGCCCCCAGACGGCGCCGTGACAGCGCAGAGCGCGTCCCAACTGCAGCCCTGAACAGCCCCGCTGCGGAAAAGAGTGATGGAAATTCCACGTTCCTATGTCGGGGCGAGTCTAGTTATAGAACCGCTGTTGATTTTACCAACAAAGTAGTAGCAATTTTATCGACCGCAGGAGTATAATGGGGTGAGTAAAGCCCCAGGTGAGATAGTTACACAGGTGAGGTAGTAACGTCACAGGTAGTGTGACAGGTAGTGACACACAGGTGAGGTGGTGACGTCACAGGTAGTGACACACAGGTGAGGTGGTGACACAGGTGAGGTGTTGACGTCCCAAGTAGTGACGCACAGGTGAGGTAGTGACACACAGGTGAGGTGGTGACGTCACAGGTAGTGACACACAGGTGAGGTAGTGACACAGGTGAGGTAGTGACGTCACAGGTGAGGTAGTGACACACAGGTGAGGTTGTGACGTCACAGGTGTGGTGGTAATGATGATGGGGATTGGCAGTCAATGACGCTGCTGCTGATGATGCTGCTGCTGATGATGCTGCTGCTGCTGATGGTGGTGATGATGATGGTGGCGATGATGCTGCTGCTGCTGATGGTGGTGGTGGTGATGATGCTGCTGCCGATGCTGCTGATGATGATGCTGCTGCTGCTGATGATGATGATGGTGGTGGTGATGGTGATGATGATGATGGCGAGGCCGCAGTACGCACCATCACGCGATCTCGCCGAGTCCAATCCCACCGGCTCCTCGTCAACATCCTCGTCTTCCTCCTTTTTTTGAACCTCCTCCACCTCTTCTTCATCATCATCGTCGCCATCGTCCCCCTCGTCGCTGGGGTCACGGTGGCATTCGCAGAGGTCCTCCTCGGGGTCTCCGGTCAAAGGGAGCCCCCGAATCGAGTGACGTGGGGGGTAGAACGTCTCGTCATCGTCATCCTCATCATCACCTCCTCCTCCATGATATCTGGCCTCCTCCTCGTCGCTGGAGTCGCCCCCAGGCCCGCAGTGGGAGTCGCCCCCCGGCCCGCAGTGGGAGCCGTCCAGGATGTAGCGGATCGAGAAGGGAGTCAGCGTCACCCCCTCGCGACCGGCCATCGCTCAGCGGAGCACACAGAGTCACGATGCCGCCACCACCACCCACCACAACCAACCACCACCAACAACCACCACCAACAACAACCACCACCAACAACCACCACCAACAACCACCACTAATCACCACCACCAACAACCACCACCAACAACCACCACTAATCACCACCACCAACAACCACCACCAACAACCACCACTAATCACCACCAACCACCACCACTAACAATCACCACTGATCACCACTACCAACCACCACTAATCACCACCAACCACCACTAATCACCACCAACCACCAACAACCACCACCACCACCAACAACCACCACCACCAACAACCACCACCACCAACAACCACCACCAACCACCACCACCAACAACCACCACTAATCACCACTACCAACTACCACCACTAATCACCACCACCAACAACCACCACCACCAACCACCACCACCAACAACCACCACTAACCACCACTAACCACCACCACTAACCACCACCACTAATCACCACCAACAACCACCACCAACAACCACCACCAACAACCACCACTAATCACCACCACCACCACCAACAACCACCATTAACCACAACCAACAACAACCACCGCCAGCAGCGCCGAGTTTCCCGCTGTGGCGCTCCCTGCCTCGACTCTAATCTCCCCCACCCTCACACACTCACACCCTCTCGCACTCACACACTCCCCCACCCTCACACCCTCACACCCTCACACCCTCTCACACTCACACACTCCCCCACCCTCACACCCTCACACCCTCTCACACTCACACACTCCCCCACCCTCACACCCTCTCTCACCCTCTCACCCTCTCACCCTCTCACCCTCTCACCCTCTCACCTTCTCACCTTCTCACACTCACACACTCACACTCTCCCCCACCCTCACACCCTCACACCCTCTCGCACTCACACACTCCCCCACCCTCACACCCTCTCACCCTCTCACCCTCTCACCCTCTCACCCTCTCACCCTCTCACCCTCTCACCCTCTCACCCTCTCACACTCACACACTCCCCCACCCTCACACCCTCACACCCTCACACCCTCTCGCACTCACACCCTCACACCCTCACACCCTCACACCCTCACACACTCCCCCACCCTCACACCCTCACACCCTCTCACACTCACACTCTCCCCCACCCTCACACCCTCACACTCTCTCACACTCACACACTCCCCCACCCTCACACCCTCACACTCTCTCACCCTCACTCTCTCACCCTCACTCTCTCACTCCTTATCTCTCACACTCACACACTCCCCCACCCTCACACCCTCACACTCTCTCACCCTCACTCTCTCACTCCTTATCTCTCACACTTACTCTCACCCCTTAATCCCTCACCCTCACCCTTTCTCTCACCCTCCCCCTCTCACCCTTTCTCTCTCTCACTCTCCGTGAGCGTGGTGTGCCACTCTCACATCGTCTCGCTCGCTCACTCTCCCTGTCTCGGCGTCTTTCTCTCACTTTCTCACTCTCCTCTCACACTCTCTCTCCCACCCACTCTCTCTCCCACTTTCTCTCCCACCCACTCTCTCTCTCCCACCCATCTCTCTCCACCCACTCTCTCTCCCACCCACTCTCTCTCCCACCCACTCTCTCTCCCACCCACTCTCTCTCCCACCCACTCTCTCTCCCACCCACTCTCTTTCCCACCCACTCTCTCGATCTCCCGACCGCGCCAGATTTGAGCGCTGCTCGCAAGAGGAACTCTTCCCGTGCGATCTCTCCCCCGTCTCTCCCCGAGTGGCAGAGACCCCGGACTCTCTCTCCACCGCTCCGCGCAGAGAGATGGACACAGGAGGAGAGGGGGGGGGGGCGTTACGGGGGGCGGGAAGAGAGGAGGGAGAGGGGGGCAGAGCTATTCTCTCTGTCTCACCCCGCCCACACTCACCTTGCATCACGAGAGAGAGCCAGGGGAGAGAGTCCGAGGGTGAGAGAGGGTGAGCGAGATACGGAGCAGAGTGAAAGTGAAAGAGAGAGGGGGAGACGTGGAGTCAAGAGTTAGAAAGTGCGAGAGAGTGGGGATGGGGGTGGGGAGAGTAGAAGGAGGAGATGGGGGAGAGAGAGAAGGGGGAGATGGGGGAGAGAGAGAGGGAGCGTGCTACGGGAGGGAGAGGTGGAGGAGGAGATGGGGGAGAGAGAGGGTGGAGCTAATGGGGTGAGAAGTGGGGAGCGTGAGACAGATGGGGGCTGCCCGGGTGTGAGGAATGGAGAAAGAGCGGGGAGAGAGGGAGCGCGGGGGGGGTAGCTGAGAGAGAGGAGAGGGGAGATCGCCACGAGGCGGCGGCGGCGGCGACGATTGGGGTAACGGGGTGGTGGTTGTGGTGGTGGTGGTGATTGTGGTGGTGATTGTGGTGGTTGATGGTCCTGGTGATTGTGGTGGTGATTGTGGTGTGTGGGGTGGTATGTGGGGAGCGGCGGTGCAGCGGTTGTCGTGTTGCGCTACGAACCCGGCGACCCGAGTTCGATTCCCGCTCACGGCCAACACCAGTGACGATTATCCGAACCGGTCCTGGGCCTCAAATGAGTACCTGGTGCAATTTGAAAAAATCGCCACTAGGGAAACAAAGGCGGTCGGCCGTGGTGCTGGCCACCCATCCCCTCGTGTGCCGTGCCGGCCTTCATCGGTGATCGCTTACAGCACTTACCCCAACAGTCTGTTCAGGCTAGACGGGTGATCTTTCTCTTTGGTGGTGATTGTGGTGATCGTGGTGGTGGTGGTGGCTGATGGTCCTGGTGGTTGTGTCCACGCGTCACAACTCAAGCAAAGCACCTGGCCCAGGTGAGAGTCACGTGACGGCACTGACACCACCACCAGCACCACCGGAACGGCCCTGGTGGTTGTTGACGTTGTTGTACTCGTTTAGTTGTGGTTGTAGTTTAGTGGTTGTAGTCCTGTGGTTTTTGTGTGGTTGTGGTTATTGTATTGGTTGTAGTTGTGTGGATGTAGTTGTGGTTATTGTGGTTGCTGTATTATTTGTGTGGTTGTATTCTGGTGGTTGTGGTTGTTGTATTGGTTTTAGTTGTGTGGTTGTAGTTGTGGGTGTTGTATTAGTTGTGGTTGTAGATGTGGTTGTAGTCAGGTGGTTGTGGTTGTTGGATTGGTAGTAGTTGTGGTTTTAGTCGTGGTTGTGGTTGTTGTGGTTGTAGTTGTGGTTGTAGTTCTGGTTGTAATTGTGGTTGTAGTTGTGGTTGTAGTTGTGGTTGTGCTTGTAGTTGTGGTTGTGGTTGTGGCTGTAGTTGTGGTTGTATGTGTGGTTGTAGTTGTGGTTGTAGTTGTGGTTGTAGTTGTGGTTGTAGTTGTGGTTGTGGTTGTAGTTGTGGTTGTAGTTGTGGTTGTGCACACCGCTCGGCCAGACGCCGCCACTGGCGCTGCGCTCCCCGCAGCATCAGCGGCGCGAGCGGCCACGGCGCCTTCGCTCTGTAACGCAACGACCAGGGCGGGTGGTCAACCACGCGGGCGGGTGGTCAACCACGAGGGCGGGTGGTCAACCACGCGGGCGAGTGGTCAACCACGAGGGCGGGTGGTCAACCACGAGGGCGGATGGTCAACCACGCGGGCGGGTGGTCAACCACGCGGGTGGGTGGTCGAACAAGCGGGCGGGTGGTCAACCACGAGGGCGGGTGGTCAACCACGCGGGCGAGTGGTCAACCACGAGGGCGGGTGGTCAACCACGAGGGCGGGTGGTCAACCACGCGGGCGAGTGGTCAACCACGAGGGCGGGTGGTCAACCACGCGGGCGAGTGGTCAACCACGCGGGCGGGTGGTCAACCACGCGGGCGGGTGGTCAACCACGAGGGCGGGTGGTCAACCACGCGGGCGGGTGGTCAACCACGCGGGCGGGTGGTCAACCACGCGGGCGGGTGGTCAACCACGCGGTGACTTCGCCCGCCATGCGGTTTGTGCGCGGATCGGGGCGTTCGTTACGAACATCCCAGTGGAATGTCACCGTCTTTATTTTAATGTCACCGTCTTGATTTGAATGTTCCCGTCTTGATTTTAATGTTACCGTCTTTATTTTAATGTTCCCGTCTTGATTTTAATGTTCCCGTCTTGATTTTAATGTTCCCGTCTTGATTTTTATGTCACCGTCTTGATTTGAATGTTCCCGTATTGATTTTAATGTTACCGTCTTGATTTTAATGTTACCGTCTTGATTTTAATGTTCCCGTCTTGATTTTAATGTTACCGTCTTGATTTTAATGTCACCGTCTTGATTTTAATGTTCCCGTCTTGATTTTAATGTTCCCGTCTTGATTTGAATGTTCCCGTCTTGATTTTAATGTTACCGTCTTGATTTTAATGTTACCGTCTTGATTTTTATGTCACCGTCTTGATTTTAATGTTACCGTCTTGATTTGAATGTTCCCGTCTTGATTTTAATGTTACCGTCTTGATTTTTATGTCACCGTCTTGATTTTAATGTTACCGGTTCGTGACTGTTGGAACCGGTAATCAATCCAGACAACGGTTACCGATTTACCGGTTACCGTTGAACAGCCCGAGTCGTCGTGTGCCGCTCACGGCTCAGCTGTGGGGTGTGCGGGACGCACGCGCGAACGTACAAACCGCACGGCGGCAGGCCCGAGGGTAACTCATCTTCTATTGGCACTGCTGATGTCAGTGTGAAGATGATGACGATGATGTATGTTCTCTGCGTGAGTCCTCCAATCCACGCGTTCCTCTCGCAGTGTCGTGCCAAACACGCGTCTCTCCATGCTGCTGTGCACTCTTCGCATGCGTGTGTGCTATAGGAGTGAGTGAGTTCTATAGGAGTGAGTGCTATGGGGAGAGTGAGTGCTATAGGGTAGAGTAGAGTTCTATAGGAGTGAGTGCTATCGGGGAGAGTGAGTGCTATAAGAGTGAGTGAGTGCTATAAGGGTGAGTGCTATAGGGGAGAGTGAGTGCTATAGGGGAGAGTGAGTGCTATAGGGGAGAGTGAGTGCTATCGGGGTGAGTGAGTGCTATAGGAGTGAGTGAGTGCTATAGGAGTGAGTGCTATAGGGGTGAGTGAGTGCTATAGGGGAGAGTGAGTGCTATAGGGGAGAGTGAGTGCTATAGGGGTGAGTGCTATAGGGGAGAGTGAGTGCCATAGGGGAGAGTGAGTGCTATAGGGGAGAGTGAGTCTATAGTGGAGAGTGAGTGCTATAGGGGTGGGTGCTATAGGGGTGAGTGAGTGCTATAGGGGAGAGTGAGTGCTATAGGAGAGAGTGAGTGCTATAGGGGAGAGTGAGTGCTATAGGGGTGAGTGAGTGCTATAGGGGTGAGTGAGTGCTATAGGGGAGAGTGAGTGCTATAGGGGAGAGTGAGTGCTATAGGGGAGAGTGAGTGCTATAGGGGAGAGTGAGTGCTATAGGGGAGAGTGAGTGCTATAGGGGTAAGTGAGTGCTATAGGGGAGAGTGAGTGCTATAGGGGAGAGTGAGTGCTATAGGGGAGAGTGAGTGCTATAGGGGTGAGTGAGTGCTATAGGGGTCGGTGAGTGCTATAGGGGAGAGTGAGTGCTATAGGGGAGAGTGAGTGCTATAGAGGTGAGTGAGTGCTATAGGGGTGGGTGCTATACGGGTCAGTGAGTGCTATAGGGGAG